CGCCATACTACGTGCGTGCGTCTCGCCCCCTCCGTGAGGGCCGGCCCCTGGCGTTCGGTCGCTCTCTGCGCATGCGCGCTCCCAGGCCAGAGCTCCGTTTCCGGTGCTTTCCCCGCCCCTGGCACCCGCGCATGCGCCCTCGGACTGACGTGCACCTGCAGTTCTTGCCACCCACACCCCTACGCGGGGCGACGCTCTTCTGCCTAACCCAGCTCGTGCTGGCAGTGCCCAGCTTCTAGATGAGTTCCTGCAATGTTGACACAGATGAAGCGTTTCAAAGCTTGTGTTAAGGGCTTTTAATTAAAATGGTGAAAAATTATTGCAGAACAGCTGCCTTCTGGCCACCTGCAGTTGGTGGGGGTGCCTCGGAAACGTGACTCACCAAACATTCCTGAAGAGATTACGTTTATTTTCAGTTATTGGAGCCAGGGTTGATGGAGAAAGTCATGCGTATTAGTAGAAGTCCTGGCTGGATATGTTTTTGGTGACTTTACGTAATGCTCCTTCCTTAGGCGCTTTCTGCAGAAGATGACACCCTCAGGAGCCACTTAGGTTACCTGCTGGTGACTTACCCGGTTTTTCAGTACCTGACATGTGCTTGGAGAGCTGGAACAGTGCCCTGTTTGTGAGTGTGGTAAGATGGTCATCAGCGTGAAATACCTGGCAAATAAGGATGAAAGGACTTCAGCGCAAGCGGATGCCAGTATAACGTCCAGGTACTTCATTGTACAGTAATACCTCGGTTCACGAATGCTTCTGTTTGCAAACAGTTCGGTTTAAGAACAGAAGAGGCAGGTAAATTCTTGCTTCCCATTGTGAAGTCTCCATCAGGTGATGAACAGACCATGGGTGCCTTCTCAGCGTGAACACCAGCAGGGCCATCTTCCCTGCTCTGAGGTATGGTCTTGGCCTCCTCTCCTCCAGATTGTAGTTTTAGACAGATGTGTAGACACTTGCTGTGAAGCCTTTTTGTATACTTCTTAGCACATACTGCATAGTACTGTGCAGTATCATTTAATCCAGCATGGCTCCAAAGAAAGTGCAGAGCAGTCATGAAGGTAAAAAGAAAGTGCAGAGCAAGGATGGTAAGAAGAAAGTTTTGAAGAAAATAACCATTGCATTGAAGAAGGAAATTGTACAAAAGTATGAGCATGGTATTCGTGTGACTGATTTGGCTTTGGAGTACAAGATGGCGAAGTCGACAATCTCGACTATTTTGAAGAATAAAGATGCCATCAAAGGAGCTGATGTGGCAAAAGGAGTAACAACATTAACCAAGCAGAGGACACAAGTGCTGGAAGAAGTGGAAAAACTTTTGTTAGTGTGGTTGGATGAGAAACAGCAGGCAGGTGATAGTGTTAGTGAAGCGATGATCTGTGAAAAAGCCAGGAAATTGCACAGTGATTTGCTGCAAGAAAACCCTTCCACAAGTTCAACAAGTGATAAATTTAAAGCCAGTCGAGGGTGGTTTGATAAATTCCGCAAGAGAAGTGGCATCCTCCGTGTGGTGAGACATGGTGAGGCTTCCAGTTCTGACAAAGCTGTTGCAGAAGCCTACAAGAAAGAATTCTCAGAATTCATGAAGGCAGAAGGGTATGTTGCTCAACAAGTATTGAACTGCAGTGACAGCAGGCTTTTTCGGAAGAAGATGCCTATCAGAACCTACATCACGCCAGAGGAAAAGGCACTGCCAGGGCAGAGCGAGCAGCAGAGGGCGCTTGTTGAGAAATTTTCCCCTGAGAAAGAAGAAGACAGGGATGAGCTTAGCAGTGATATGATAAAGTCCATCATGGCAAAATGGAATGAATGCCAGGATTTCTTTGAGAGGCACCACCCCAACATAACTATAACAAACAGAGTGTTGAAGCTGATGAACGATAATGTGGTCTCTCATTTCCGGAGGGTTATGCAGCGCAGGAAAAAACAAATGACATTAGGCAGATTTTTTGTTAAAATTGACCCTGCAGCTAAGAAACAGAGAAGAGAGGAAACTACTGAAGCAAATCTCCCTGATGTCCTTATGGTAGGGGATTCTTCAAACAACAACCTCCTTCCTACCTACCTTCCTGTCCTCCATGCCAGAAGTCTCCTGAAGCAAGGTTAGTAGTGTTCTTTCTCTTCATATTGTACTGTACTTTGTTTCATATTTTTGTGGTTAAAAATACATATGATTTAGAATGGATTAACAGTGTTAACATTGTACCTTATGGGGAAGTTTGATATGGCTCATGACCCGTTTGGCTCACCAGAATTTGGACCAAATTAACTTCATGAATCAAGGTACCACTGAATGTGCTAAGTGCCACTGAAGCCATTCCATCAGGGCAGCTCTTCTTGATCTTTGTAGTAAAGCTAACCTTCCTTCCATTCTTCTCTGTCCCTCTCCTTGCTCAAGATGGAACCCAAGGCCTGGTGCACGTAGGTCACGTGCTGTGCCACTGAGTTGTATCCTATTCCAACCCTTTCTCTTGAGTCCTCTCTATACTTGGTTTCCGGAGTACAATGGAACTATGTCCATTTCCTGGTAGACAATGTATTTCTTTTATTCCTGCCTCAAATTCTGAAGTTCCCAACACATTGCCTTGAGCTCAGTGGCACCTAAAGGTGAGTACGTACTCTCTTTCCTAAGCAAGAAGGCACTATTGATGCCCCTGTGCCTAGGTTGGTGGGGTGACCATGCACGGCTACCCAGCACACCTGAGACAAGCATGAGCATAATCCATGTCTTTGCGCTTGATTTCATGCTTTCTTGGTCTCAGTCTTTCTCTTTCCCATTTTCTCCTGTTATTTTTATGTCTTCCACTTAGTATTTCTCCTTTTTTTTTTTTTTTCTTTAGACTATGTTCCTAAGCCCGTATTCCTATCCTTTTGAGGCCTGTTGGTGTAGGCATCTGGGGATGAAGTAATAGAAAGGATTATTTAGCTTGAGCTTCATATTCAAAAAGATCCAAATTAGACTCAGTGTTATTTCTAAATGAGGTAGACAACAGGAGGATGCACTTTGCAGCTTTAGTTAATTAGAAGTTTAAAGATCAAAAACATGCAGGATGTGGTGGGTTGGGCTTGTGGTCACAGCTATGCTGGAGGCTGAGGTGGATGAGACCTGCATAGTGAAATCCCATCCTTTTAAAAATTTTTTTAAAATGTATTTAGTACAGAGTCTACAGGGTCTCACTACACAGATCGGACTTGTAATGATTGTCCTGTCTTCAGCCTCCCAAGCGCTGGGATTACAGGCTCGTGTCACCACACCATTCTCAATCGCCTTCTCAGCATGTCCAGGGAGTGGGGCCCAGCCCTGCACACTGCAGATTGAACCCCAGTCCCTGAGTCTGTCTAAGCAGGTGCTTTAATCTGCTGAGCTATCTGGCCGGCCAAAATTCTGTTTCTTAAAAAAAAAAGGCATCTGAATCTTATTTTCACTTAATGAAGGTTTCAGAAACTCAAATTCACTTATTGAATGTTTCCCAAATGGGAATTTTCTGGGCTCTTTCTCATCATGTGAGCTTTCCTTCATGTTGCCTCTCTTGTGTCTCCTGTTTGCTTGCTCTCAGGCTTCTTGTTGAATTCCGCTGGTGGGGAGCCTGGTGGCTGCTTCTCTTTCAGTGAAATCTGATTAGGCAACATGATCACGGGGAAATGATTTTTATGTTCCCATAAGGAAAGTGTTGAAATAGCAACGTTTCATTGAGACCTCAACTGTTCAAAACCAATGAAGGACATTCAGATGGTTGTGTAATATTGAGTGCAATCCTCATCGTTTTTAAATTTGTTCATCAAGTCTAAAGAAAGAATCAGAAACTGAGCACAACATGTCCATATGTGCTCACCCCTGGCTATTATGAAATAGTTCTTATTAATGCAAAATTGCCTTGCCTGTCTGAGGTAGTGTTGTTGAAGTATACTGCTTCATCAGCAGCAGAACAGTGGCTGCAATACCTATAGAACTTGTTGGGCTTTCACTTTCTCTTTGTCGTGTACAAACATGTGCCAGCCTTCGCTACTTGGGATTTAAGGATGTTTAGCAGGCCAAGAAGGAAGCTATGTTTAGCCAAGTCTTGTCATTGGCTAACTATAGTATTCATTTGTTTTTCTCAGTGGAAATACAAAACTTCAGTTATTGTATTTGTGAGACTTTGTGACTAATTCCCAGCCAGTTTTCTTTTGAACATTGCATTTAGCATGAACATTTTCAAAACCTGAGTTTCCCTTACACACGAATAGGTTTTTCTTTTCACTAGTGTGTTGAACTGTTATTTTAGAAAAATTGAAAAACAACACTGCATTTCTTTAGTTGTACAACAGACTGATTCAAAATCCAGGAAATGTCAAAATAATTAAGCTGAAGCCTTTTTTAAATGAGATTTTAATTTTAACACAGTAATAATGTAACCATGTTGAGCATGTATGTGTTTAAAAAAAAACCCTCTTAATTTGTAAGTAATTGTCAAAACAAAGAAATTAGGATCTTACTGCTGACTACAGAATTTTTCAAACTTCATCAGTTGCCTACTAATATCTTTTACCATTCCAGGCTCCAATCCAAGAATCCACATTTAATCTCATGAGGTCTTTTTCAAAGGAGTATTCAGGATAGAGGGAAACATGTAAGACAAAATCATTTTCTCTTCTGTTGAAAGTGGGAAAATGTGCACAAGAAGAAATCAGTATATGGCAGTGGATTGCCTTGACCCCAGAAGCTGCCTGCTCTGTGGGTGCTGCTGGGATCCAGACCGGAAGCTCTGACCTATTGCCACATATGTAGATTCAGGTACACACCTAAAATGTGATTGTCTTCACACACAGCGCTGCTCCCTGCCTCATTATAGTAATTGTGATCCCCTGGAGAGTCCCTAAGTGACTGCAGTCGTGCAGAGTGGATGCAAGTCAGCGATTAGCAGCCAGCTGTGTTGTCAGATTCGTGGGGTAAGCCCTGCTTTCGCCCTGTGACGTGCAAGCTGTAAACCTCTCTCAGTTTCCAATTCCGCGTTTCCGGTGTTCAGAGAGAAAGTGAGGTTTAAATTGTATAATCATCAGAGATCCCTTAAAAGAGTGCCTGGTACAGAGGAAGAACTGAATGACTGCAATTTGTCATTGTCACTGTGTTCTGGGAAAACTGCATGCATTAGTCTGCCAGCTGGGTGGGGAAGAAGCAGCAAAGATAGGGTTAGAGGAAAATCTGTTTAGGGAAATCAAACATAGATTGTTTTAGGAAGTATTAGAGTTACAAAGGAGAGTTTTGTTGCTAAAAGGAAAGAAAATAGAATACTGAAAAGCAAAAAGAAACAAAATAAACAAAAAACCAAAAACAAATTTACAGAGCAGCTATGCTAATTCCCTCCTTGTGGTCGGGTTTGAGCTGTTTGTGTTGGAAGTGAACATAGTTCTCAGAACCATATTAAGCTTAGCTCACCTTTAAGAAGTGAATAAGTAGGGTTAAAGGTCCTCATTTGTAGAGATTAATTTTGTAATAATCTTCACAGGTGTTATAATTAGGTGTAAAAGGAATGCGATGCTGTGAACGCTGGCCTTAGTAATAGTCCTCAGATTCTCCTGTCTGCTGTGCAAATGGAGGGCCTTATGTGCTGGCCTCAGAGTTTGGACTTCATTTCCTGACAGTGAGTTGCTTGCAGGCAAAGGAGAATAGTGTGCTCAGATTTTAGTTTAGGAAGATCATGGTGATGTTAGTGTAGAAGACGAATTGGGATGCTCTTAAGTTGGGAGGTTCGTGATGGATGATATTTTCTAAAGCTGTTGGTCAAGAGATCTGAGGATCCAGGTGCACTGACAGTGAATAAAAATATATAGTCAAATTGTTACTGGCAACACAATACTGTATAAGATTTGTTCACACAAATCACTGGCTCCTGCCCTGGATTTGTCAGATGTATACATTTTAATAGAGCATTACAATTCAGTTTTCATGGGCTTAAATATCCTTTACCTCATCTGTGTAGCAAGGGTTCTTGTATGGCACCAAATTTGCATATGTTAATTAATCCTGATGAACTACTTCTGACAACAAACAGGACAGATGCAAGGATGTCATAGGTTGGTTCCAGATTCATAGCCAAGGGAGGCTGGTCCAGTGGGCTGCCTAAACTATATAGCCGCATCAGTATAGAGATTTTAGGACCTAGTACTGAGCAGCTTCTATCAGAAGTATTCAATCTTGCTGAAAGAGTTAGAGCCATCATATTACAGGAATCCATGCACACCCAGGTTTAGAGCAGCACGGTGCGTAATAGCAAATCTTGGATGCGTTCTGTGTGTCCATCACAAGATAAACAGGTAAAGCAAACATGATATTTACACATCATGAAGCATTAATTCTCCGTAAAGAATGATAAACAAATCATCTGTAGGAACATAAATGCACTTGAGGCCATAATAAGTGAAATAAATCAGATGCACAAGCTTAAATATTACCTATTTTCTCTTACATGAAAAATGCAAAGTATAAATAAAGAGCAAAATAAAAGGTAGATTATAGAAAATAAGGAGAGTTGGTGCAGATGAGAAAGGGACCAAGAGATGGGGGAGGGGCGCAAGGAGTGGAAGGACTTATGAAAAGAATTAAGATGTGTTATGCGTAGTACCCCCTCTCCACGAGGAGTGTAATCACTGTGCACTTACTGTATACAGGTACTAACAAAAATTCAGATTAAAAAGGATGTCATTATCAAAGAATTTCCCTATTTTATTGTCTCTCTGGAAGCTGAGAGACAAATATTTTTACAGTTGATTAACTCAAAGTTCTCTTAAAATCAGATGTGAAGCAAAACAAAATGCCCACTAGTTCTGTATGGATGTTTTTTCCTTTTTCCTTTTTTTTTTTTTTTTTAATCCTGTTTGCAGTCACACAGAGAACTGAGTTCCTGTCAGGGAGAAAACAGCATGTGATGCGCCTTCCGGCGCAGTGAACTGGGTGGATCAAGTGCTTTGCTTTAAGCATGCTAGACAGGATGTTTCTAGCCTGCCAGATCTAAGATCAGAAACTCAGAGATGTGAGTGCACAGTAGCCCTCTGTCTCGCTTCTGGCGCTAGAATTGTGTCAGAACCACCATGATCTTCTGGGTGAAACTGCTGTATCATTTAC